TCCAGATCAAGCACCCGAGCTTGCCGCCAGGATGTCCGCTCACACCCGACAGAAGCAGGGCAAATCCTATCAGCCGGCAGCCCCGTGCTCCTTCTGTGGGCGCGCTGCACACACCAAGGGTCGGCAAGGCTGTCCGGCGCACGACAAATTCTGCACCCAGTGCGGCAAGAAAGGCCACTTAAGCACTGTGTGTCGAAGCAAGACAACGCTCAGCTCGGTGCGCGTTGAGCCTAACGTCGTAGCTGGTGTCGGGCGCGGACTTTCTCGCCTGCAGCTCACTGTGATTCACCCCGGCAGCCACAAGTCGCGTGTTCTCAGCGCCATCGCCGACACCGGTGCTGAAGTCTCCGTCATGGGTCGCTCACATCTAACACAGCTGGGACTCAGCCCCAAACACTTAAAGAAGACGCCAAGACGTCTGCAGCATGCAGCCGGTAGTGGTCTGCAAGTGCTTGACACCATCCGGATGCGGCTTTGCCTTCAAGACAGGCATATCACAGAAGACATATTTGTGGTAGCGGGCGTCAGCGTCAGTGTGAGTGACGTCGTCGCTCACACACCTATTTGCCTCTCGCATCAGCATGGAAGAATCTGAGCATCGTACATGCCGGCTTTCCGTGTCACCAGATTGGCGCCATCTCTGGCGCTGATCATCCTCCTGAAAGCGCCGACATGACCGAAGACAGGCCAAACCACCTGCCTGATCGTCCAAACCAGCTCCCGTTTCCACCCACGGAGGGAAACATACCAAAGCTGGAGGCCTGGCTGAAGGATCACTTCTCGGACAGCACCTTCAACACCACGTGTCAGCCGCTCCCGGCCATGTCGGGGCCGCCACATCACATCCACCTGAAGGATGGAGCTGAGCCGTTCGTCGCTCACATACCTAACGGGTGTGCACTTAGTTTCTGGAAAAAGTTTGATTATCCGTATCTCCAAAGATATTGAATGAAACGGTTTGAAATTTTGCATAGCGAAAGATTATTGCTTGAAGCACGTGCATGCCAAATTTCATGCTTCTGTGACCATTTTTTTCATTGAGAATGGAAGGCTTAACCAAGTCAGGTGTTCGGAATTTCGTGGCGGAATTTCTAAAAACACATCCAAATTTACCGAAATGTAAAGTTGTTGCTCATTTCCGCTTGATGGGTGTGGCAAGGTCCACTATATATGCCATCATTGGAACGGTGCGAACTCGGGGAAGCGTAAAACACCTGAACAGTGGGGAAAAGTGTCGGCCTGTAGTTAAAATGCCCCGACAAAAGAGGCTCGCCTTGGTGAAAGCTGCTCGCCATCGTGTAGGTGTTTCTCTGCGTACACTGGCCCACCGTTTCAGGATTTCGCCAAATTATGTGAAGAAAATCTTGAATCAAGAAGGACTTACTTACCGAAAGAGAAAGAAGGCCCCAGAAGACAACCCAAAGCAACAGAAAACCCAGAAAACCCGGATTCGTAGACTGTCACGAGGCGTTCTCAGTGCCAGCATGGTCGAAGAAGTAGTGATGGATGACGAAACGTATTTCACCTACAAGGGCAGTGATATGCCATGCAACCAGGGCTTCTACGCTGGCCCGGGAGGTGACGCTCCACTGGCAGTGAAAACTCGGTCCGTCGGCAAGTTCCCACGTAAGCTGTTGGTATGGGTCGCCATATCCCCACGTGGGGTTTCTGAGCCAGTGATCTGTCCAAGTCGGACCAATATCAGTGGCCATGTGTACAGAGAATAGTGCCTTAAGAGGGTTCTCTTTCCATATCTGAGTCGTCACTATCCCAGGGGGGGATATGTGTTCTGGCCGGACCTCGCTGCAGCCCACTACGCGAATGCCACGCGCGAACTGCTGAAAGAGGCGCACGTGCCGTTCGTCGATCGCGAGGAGAACCCTCCTAACGTGCCGCAACTGCGACCGATCGAAGACTTTTGGGGCTTGGTTAAGCAAGAGGTGTATAAGGGAGGATGGGAGGCGGAAAGTGACGCCCATTTGAAGAGCAGGATTCGCCGCGTTCTGCGTCAGCTGGATGTGGAGGTGCCGCGCAAAATGATGAGGGGGTTGCCTCAGCGCTTGCGCGCTGCAGCCCGTTTCGGAGTCAGTAGCGCTCTCCACTAGTGACCCGTGTGGGATGGTACTCTGACAGATGTGTGTGCCAAAGCTCAACTGATTAGCTGAATAAACACCAAAGCTATGGCAACGCAAACTTTTTCCAGAAACTAAGTGCACACCCGTTATTCCAATTCCACATCACTGGAAGAAAGAGGTCAAGCGTCAGCTGGATGAGGATGTCGCCAGCGGTATCCTGAGACCAGTTCCTGCCGGTGAGCCCTCGGAGTGGTGCTTCAGGATGGTCACCGTACCGAAAAAGGACGGCAAACCGAGGAGAACGGTGGATTTCCAGCCCGGTAACAAAGCGTGTCTCCGCGAGGCCCACCATACCCCTCCACCATTCGACATGGTAAGCAGCATCCCCCCAAAAAGCTACAAGACGGTGCTAGACGCCTTTAATGAAGTCGCAAACTGACAACCTTCATCACTGAGTACGGCCGATATCAGTATCTGCGTACACCGCAGGGTCACTGTTCAGCTGGTGACGCCTACACAAAAAGATATGATGACATAGTCGCTGGTGTGGAAAGACAGTGTAAATGCATCGACGACACCCTGCTGTACGATGCAGATATCAAACAAGCGTTCTTCCACACATTCGACTACCTCAAGCTGTGTGGCAGAAACGGTGTGACATTGAACCCCGACAAGTTCAAGTTCTGTCGTCGTGATGTCGAGTTCGTCGGCTATTTCCTAGGTTGGGAAGACTACAAGCCAACAGGCGACAAGCTGTCAGCCATAAAGAACTTCCCTATGCTGGAGCAGCCATCCATCACAGACATCAGATCCTGGTTTGGGCTGGTGAACCAGCTCGCGCCGTTCATGGCCGTCTCACCCCTGATGGAACCATTCAGAGACCTTCTGAAGCCTGGAGCTTCCAAGAAAGTCTACTGGGATCAGAATCTCCAGACGATCTTGAACAAAACCAAAGAAGCCATATGCAGCATGGCGGCAAATGGACTCGCCTACTTCGACCGGTCCCGGCCAACCGCCGTGGTGACAGACTGGTCCAGAAATGGAAGTGGCTTCGTGATCCTCCAGCAGCACTGCAGCTGCGCCAAAGATCAAGCGCCGTTCTGCTGTACAGGGGGCTGGAAGCTGGCCCTCTGTGGTAGCCGCCATCTGTCTTCGGCGGAATCAAACCACTCAGCGGTGGAAGGCGAGGCACTGGCCTTGGCGTGGTGCTTCAAGAAGGCCAGGCTGTTCCTCCTCGGTAATCCGGGCTTCCTTCTTCTCGTGGACCACCGGCCGCTGGTGAAAATCCTTGGCAACAGAGCCCTCGGTGACATATCAAACCCAAGGCTGCTTCGTCTCAAGGAGAAGACGCTGCTGTTCGACTACCGAATCAAGCACTTGCCTGGGAAGCAGAATCTGGCCGCAGACACGCTCTCGAGGTCCCCAGTCGGCGCTCTAGAACCAGACAAGGATGACACGGACGTTAGTGAGGATCTGGAGGCCCTGGGCGCCATTGTGGCAGCATTAACGGCCACCTCAGAAGATGTCATAGCCATGGATCCCCAACATGTCAAAGACGCTGCGCAGTCTGACGAGCAGTATCAGCTGCTGTCTCAGAAGGTATCGTCAGACAGTTTCGCCAATACTCGGGCCCAAGAAGACCCACTAGTGCGAGACTTCTATAATGTCCGAGACCGTCTGTGCATAGCCGACGACCTTCTGATGTACGGCGTAAACGAAAAGGACCTGAGACTGGTTATTCCCAGGAACCTCCGCCGTCAGATCATCAAAAACCTGCACTCTGCGCATCAAGGCTCATCTTCCATGCTGGCACGAGCCAGACAGGTTGTTTACTGGCCCAGCTTGGAACATGACGTCCAAGACCATGCCCGGCACTGTGAGCAGTGCCGTCGCCACGCGCCGTCTCAGCAAAGAGAACCACTGCTTCCCTCCCCAGCCCCAGACTACCCGTTCCAGCAAGTGGTCGCCGACATGTTTGAGGTCAACGGAAACATGCACTTGAGCTACGCTGACCGGCTGACAGGCTGGCTGGAAGTTCACCATTTTCGCTCAGCTGTGACGTCAGAAGCGCTCTGCGGCGTATTCCGCCAGCTGTTCCACAGATGGGGCGCACCTCAAGAGCTGTCGTCTGATGGCGGACCCAACCTGTCAGGGCGGCCCTTCCAGCTGTTCCTGCGCAGGTGGGGCGTCCGGTGGCGCCTCTCGTCAGCCCACTACCCTCAGTCGAACGGCCGAGTTGAGGCCGCCGTTAAGACAGCCAAGCGCATCGTACGCGAACACACAGGAAGAGGAGGTCATCTCAACACGGATGAGGCAGCACAGGCGCTGCTGATGTACCTACAGAAATACGCCGCTATGAGACGGCGGTCGGTCCCCGGCACAGCTGGCGCTGGGCAGGCACCTCCGCGACAGCATCCCGTCCCCGTCACAGCGGTACAAGCTGAGCCCCGAGTGGTGCCGGGATCTCCGCCGACGGGAGCTCTCCATGGTCACCCGCGGCGAGAAAAGCAAGGCCGCTTATGACGTCGGCACTCGGCACCAAGGAACTCTCCGAAATGTCGGTCGGCGACAGCGTCCTCTGTCAGGACGCCAGAATCAAAGCCTGGGACTGCCGAGGTGTCATCGTAGAAAAATCTCCGTTCCGAAAGTACCTGGTCAAGATGCAGGGCACTGGCCGCGTGACGATCCGTAATCGGCGTCACCTGAAACTAGACTTACAGAAGTAATGTGCTCGTGAAGTCGGTGTGACTCTCCGACTTGGAGGGGGGCTGTAGGGGTGCTAAACATCAATTAACACGTGCTAATGTGCACGAGTATTTTCGTTAGAAAATTGATGTGTCTGTTTTGGTCGTGATTCAAAAAATATACTTTTGCTCGCTCTCGTATACGTTACGTACGTTAAGATATCTCCCTTACACCACTGACCGTATTATGCGTATCAGTTCGCCCATGGTGACGTGATCGGGCACCAGAAACTTGGTCTTGTCTATTTGCGGCAGCGACTTCTCGCCACTGAAGCGTTCGATGATGACCGGTACTTTGCTGGGGTGAAGTTCCCGAATGTGGCGGACATCGTGCACGCGTTGCTCTGTGGATGTAGAAACACTGCAGTCAGACATAGACATATTTGTCAGTCAGTGCACGCGTTGCTCTATATATTCTCATCAATGCTCAGCAAATAGCATGTAACATTTCCCCCTAAACCATCAAAGATCTCCCCCAAACCCTTGCAAAGTTATGCCGGATGTGCGCAGAAATTTTCGGCGCAATCCCGCCACTACGCCGGATATATGTATTTGGCATAACATGCATTTTTTCCAGTCTGGTGCCTGAGTGAAGATAGCACGGGCCCGTGCACACCCGAGATCTCATCAAAACCTGCCACATTTTGCAGTCTGGCTGTCGACCACCGGGCAGTCACCAGGAATCACCAGCTAGGTAATTAATCTTCATTGCCAGACAGCCTTGGAAACATACCTAGCTTTTTGATTCATGGTCACAGTTAATGTAACCGAGGGGATCCACCAACAACAACATTTATGCACCAGATTAGAAGTCATGGAATCGTCGCCTTAAGCGTATAACGGCACACCCCACACTCCCTCAAGATCACACTGAGCTCGAAGACTCTGCCGTAAAATGGAAATAGAGGAAGTTTATGGACATTTGTCAAGATAAGGTCTGATCTACAATTGTGGCTCACCTAGTAGATGCTCACCTAGTAGATTGGATAAGAGGCATGGGAGCAGGATTGCTCATAGGATGCTGCCTCTCTCACTGTTTCGACATGTGTTGGTCCAGTTTCTTCTTAAATGTACTGATGGTGCGACTCATGACCACTGTTGATAGTGATACAAATACGAAACAGCAGATATTTTAGGTTGTAGGTTAGGTTAGGTTAGGTTAGGTTGTAGTGTAGGTATGTAGGTTACAGGTTTTAGGTTGTTAGGTTGTGCTTTTATAGGTTGTAGGTTAATAGGTTGTAGGTAAGTAAGTAAGGTCAGGTTTGATTTTTTTCCTTTTATTTGCGAGACATGTATCATTTTTGGAATCAGGATGTCAAATAATGTGAAATTATGAAAAAATATCCTTTAAATCTTCTTAAGACTTGATCTTGACATTAACCAGTTTGTCATTCTTAATTTACTTTTTTACTTTTGAATCAGTTATATAAATTGCATCTTGAATACCTAGTATAAGAAGGGCAAGGACAGGAATCGTCAGCATAGGCATGGGTTTGTTGCACCTTATCCGCCTGCGCCATTCCATTTCAATTCGGGCCCACGGTTCAGTTTTGGGTTACGTACCAAGAGATCTTCTCTCCTTGAAAGTCTTCTCCACACTGCCCATGACGTTTTCTAAAAACAAATGTAGCGGTTTAAACAGCAAAGTGACTCGCCTATATAGAACCAAATCCTGGCTTATCCCTAAACACCAAACTAGAGCACAAAATCTCGCACAAAGCCTTTCAGTATCCCTTGTCGTTGTCCCTTGTCACAGCGCTCCGCACGGCGCCTGTCTCGCAGCATTCCTCGTGGAGTTTGTTATGGTGCCCAGCTGACAATTGTAAACAACTTTTTTATCCGTGTTATTCACAAAATATACTTATCAAACCAACATGTCAGACCTAATTTGTTCATTTCATGCACATGTTAACTGATAACGCTAGCTATTCCCAATATTTTGCAGAAAACGCAGAAAATAATGAACTATATTTTTGCTGTGATTTCATGTGTGTAATCATCCGCCGAGACCTGGGTAGCTAGCGCCGAGCCAATCAGATTAGGCCAATGTGTCACGTGACAAGTGTCCGGAGAATTTTCAAGATGGATACTTTCATTGAAATGTGATCCATGCGATATTGATAATTGCACGCGGATTTCTTCAATTTGGAAAGTTCAAGTACAAGGTGAGTTCCTCATACCTCTGGGGTGGTATGAGGACCTTTTCTTCGTGCATTTCGCATTTAAAAGCGAATGAATTGTGCGTGACAAATATGGCGCGCTACCGCAATGACACATTTTTAAAGTAAATTTTCCAATTGTAATATAGGTACGATACGATATGCCTGATACTGTAAGGAAATTGAAATGAATGCGCAGTGTATCTGTCTAAACCTCCTTTGTATATCTAAGTCAACTACAAGTCAGTGAGCAGGAAATCCACAGGCTTTCTTGTCCTAGCCGATTAGGTCTGCCCCTTGGTCTGCCCTAAATTTCAACAATAAGTCGAGTGTATTAGAGTCGAGAGTGTAGAGTTATTGTGTTTCAGTGGTTAATAGAAATAAAAATATCAGGAGATTGGATAGGTAATCTTAGACAAGAGCCCTTTTAGAGCAGCCACTGGAACATTCTGTTAGGAAATCAGCTGTTTGCAGGTTCTGAGGACAATTTGTTGTGCACTGATGTTGATTTTGAGATTTCAAATAAGCAATGGATAAATATCACCAATCATTTTTTCTTCAAAAATGCCCAATGCTTTGCAATCCCCACAATATGCAATCAGGGGTGTAACTTTTGCTTTTGAGATGGGGGTGCACTTGGTGATGGGGGCGACCTTCAGTGAGGATAGGGGCGCTTCCAAGGAGCATACATGGTGCATATCTCTCAACAGGCGCGCACACAGGATTTTTTAACGGGGGGGGGGGCACGACCTGCAAACTGGGGCCCTCCATGCCGAAGGACCACAGACCCCAGCCAAAAAAGCTCCCCAACGTGATTATATTTCGGTCGACTTGAAACTTAGCTTCTGTCGATACATGATAAAACAATTACTTCAGTTCCCGTTCAATTTTCAAAGCATTAAATGCTCCATTTTTGTTTACGCAGCATGTTTCATTCAAATACGATCCAGTGAGTCGTTATCACCATTTTAATGTCTCTCAATTTCGGTAAAGTGCTTCTTTAAATGCTAAAATAAAATGTTTGTTGGTATATTTCGAAATTCAGACTTAAGAATGATCACTATTTTGTGTTCCTCCAATTTAGTTTGAACACAGTCTGATGCTGCAAATGGGATTGCAGTTCATTTATATTAACCCAAGGCCCTCTATCCGGCGCACCGATAAACGGGTGTCAAGGCTTCTACTTATAGGTACAAGAACTTTTCAAATAAAATGAATATTTTTCATGTGCAATTTTAATTGTAAGAGCACTAAACACCCCAATGTTAGAGTCCAATGGTACAAAATTGGGTATTACAAAATGACATTAAATTCGTTTACACGAATATCAATCAATCAAATTTATAACGAAATTGCATTTAGCTTTTTCATTCCGAAATTTTATAGAATCGGGGTGCCCTTTTTACGCTCGGCGACTGGTGACACCCACTTTTGCTGGAATCACCTTTTTTATTGGGCGCCTTTCTTCTGCTGCGGTCGCCTCTCTCTTGCTGAGGTCACCCCTCTTCTGCTCGGCGGGACTTGCTTCTGATGGGCGCTCCTCCTCTGCTGGGGTCTCACACTTTTCTGCTGGAGACTGACACTTCCCTTCCCGGGTATGCCCTATTTTTCTAGAGGCGTCCCTCTTCTGCCGGGCGAGCCCAACTTCTGCTTAAGTCGCTCGACCTTTTCTACTGAGGGCGCCCTTCTTACTCGGCGAGCCCAACTGCCGCTTGAGGTGTCCCATTTTTATTGTATGCGCCCCCTTCTGCGGGTAGCGCCCCTCTTTTGCGGGGCTGCCCCTCTTCTGCTGGAGGCGCCCTCGCCCATCTTCTGGTGGCGGCGCCCCTCTTCTGGTGAAACCGCCCCTCTTCTGCGGGTGCGTACTCTTCTGCTGAAGGTGCTCGGCAATGTCTGTTGGGGGCATTGCTCTTTTGCTGGGGAGCCCCTGTTCTGCTGGGGATGCCCCACTTCCGTCGGGGCCGCTGGGGACGCCCCGCCTCTGCTGGGGGCGCCCCCGGCCCCACTGCTGCTGGACGAACCCAACTTTTGCTCCAGGTGCCCCTTTTGTATTGGGGCGCCTCTATTCTCTAGGCATCCCTCTCCTGGTAGGGCGCCCCTTTCTGCTGGGGCGGCCCTATGCTGGGGGTACTCTTCTGCTGGGGGCGCCCCACTACTACTGGACGAGCCCAACTTTTGCTTGAGTAGCCCCATTTATATTGGAGTGCCTCTCTTCTTCTGGAAGCATCCCTCTTCTGGTGGGGCGCCCCCTTTCTGCTGGGTGGCCATTCCTGTGTTGAGGGCGCTCCTTTTCTGCTGGAGGCATCTCTCTTCTGGTTGGGCGCCCCCTTTCTGCTGGGGTGCCCTTCTTCTGGCAGGGCGCCCCTCTGCTGGTGAGGCGCCCCTTTCTGCTGGGGTCGCCCGTGTTCTACTGAGGGCGCTCTTCTACTGGGCGAATCCAAGTTCTGCTTGCGGGCCTCATTCATTCCTACTAGGGGCGCCTCTCCTCCGCTGGGGCGCCAGTCTTATGCTTGACGATCCCAACCTACGTTGGAGGTGCCCCACTTCTGCCTCGGGCGCTCCACTTTTGCTGAGAAAGTCCCGTTCTTGCCGGGGTGTTCCTTTCACCCATTTTTGGGGGGACAATACGACTGGACGCTTTCCAAGCCCGCAGGCAGCACGACGCCGGTCACGAGACGGAATGTAGCCGGGATATCACCCTCACCATCTGCTGCTCAAGAGCTTATCGGTGTCGGGCAGCGTGTGGGGCGCCGCTTAGCCTATGGGGGTGCACTTTGACGAGATGGGGGTGCACTTTCAGGGGATGGGGGTGCACCTGCACCCCCATACATATAGAAAGTTACACCGCTGTATGCAATACCTATATGCAATCCCCTTACTATTACCACTCAAATTTCAGTTATAGTAAATAATTCAACTATCAAGTTTGTGTTACATGCATCAATATATGTCTACCGGAGCCTCCTCCAAAAGTCCAACTTTCATTTGGGATGAGAGAGGAGGAAAGTGGTGGTGAGATGTGGCCTAGGAATGATCTTTTTTAGTTAGAATGAGCTTAGAGGAGCTTTGAGTAGCATCTGGACAAATATTTTGAAAAGAGAAAGCTAGTGCCTAGTGGAGCATAGACAGGATCGGAGAACTCATGGGAACCAGTGTTCTAAAATGCAATTCTGGTTGGGTGTGACGATGGCAAAAAAATCTAGGATGAGAAATAACAAGTGAAGGCCGAAATCATTTTCACAAAAAAGGCGTAAAGCTACACTGGATGATTCTAAAAGAACATGCCATTCCTGACCACCAAAACTAACTGAAAAAGACTATGCAAATAGGCAAGGACTTGGGCAGAACTATTACTTTAACATTTGATCACCTAGTGTTTCTAAACGCATCCCATTTTTATCCCAACATTTGTAGTTGATTGAAACTAAGGAATTCAATAAACGCCCTCATACAGCAAAGAATGAATAAGTCAACCAGTGATTTTTCATTTTCCTCACAAGTCCAGTTCCAAGGCCGTATGCTGGCTGCTCAAGGGCGTATGAGAGGTATAAGGCCTTGATGTTAGCAAGATCAAGGTTTTCCCATTCCAACAAACCTATGCAGAACCCTCGTCCTGTCATTGCCTACATCACGCTGCAAAAATTTTGTGATATCTTTGGATAGCATTAAAATTTATTAAAAAGCTAGGACCTTCCTAATCCCATCTACCAGCTTCATAGCATGTATAGGGCAGATCTGGGACTCCCGTATCTTAAATTTATCCCTAGAGATGTGCCAAGGTGTGCTTTCACTGATCTTGGCTCTCCCCCGGCCGAAGGCTTCGTGTTTAAAGACCTCTAGAAACTAATTGAAATGGATAATTGGCGGTAAGATTGCTGCAAAAGCATCAGACATTAATGCAAAATAAATCGTCACTGGTCTTATAACTTCATTTCACGTTTGAAACCAGCCAAAGTTTGCATAGTTTTTTATTCATCCCTAGGGTGTGTCAGGGTGGCGTATCAATCAGCTTGGCCCTCTGCCCGACCCGACGCCTCGAGTTTTAAAGGCCTCTAAACTAATAACGTTAATAATTTATGATGAAATTGATATAACATGATCAGAAAAGAATGCAGCATAAATTGGTATTGGTCTCAAACACTATGTTGCGTATGAAACCAGCCAAACCCCGCTGAGTTTTAGATTCATCCCTAGGGTGTGTGAAGGGTGCCGGTGGCTTTTCTCATCTTGGACGTCTGCCAGGCCCGACGCCTCGAGCTTCTAAGTCCTCTAGAAGTCATTGACGGACATAATTTGTGGACAAACAGACCCATACTCCATAGTCTGATCATTTAAGTCTGTCTGATATTGTCAAGTGCACTAATTCCGGAGCCGAGTTATAAGGAGAGGGGGTGTTCAGACACCCACCGGCCCGGAGCGGTTGGCACCGAGGACCGGCCCGGCGCGGGTAAGGAGAGAGGTTAACCCGCGCCGGGCCGGATAGGGGGGGGGGGGGTGTTTGAACACCCCCCTGCGGTTTTTCGCAGATATCTAAAAAACGCGCCTCGCCGCCGTTTTTGGCACACCTGTTTGTGCATCTTTTCCGCACATGTTGTGAAAATTTCAGACCCAAGTCACCTTAGGTCAGGTCACCAGGTCACGCCAAGTGACCTCACCTCAGAAAAAATAAGAATGCCCGTCATATCTACACCGACTGAACGATTGCCTTGAAACTTTCAGTGATTGATAAGAGCAACACTATCTATAAAATGTGTATCTCCGAATTTTGATATCGGTGACCTAAGGTCAGGTCAATTTTGCGGCCTCTCCATTATCCCGCGCCGGGCCGGGGGGTGTTTGAACACCCCCCTCTGTGGTTTTTCGCAGATATCTCAAAAACGGCGGCGCTCCGCGCCGCCGTTTTTGGCACACCTGTTCGGGCATCTTTTCCGCACATGTTGTGCAAATTTCAGACCCAGGTCACCTTAGGTCAGGTCACCAGGTCACGCCAAGTGACCTCACCTCAG